ATGAAAGCGCCGCGATGCGACGGGACGGGACGCGACGCGACGCATCGCGAAGAGTCGCGGAGTCACGATTCTCATTATTTTCCTCGCGACGCGCCAGTCAAATGTCAAACGCGTTCCCTCCTCGCTACATCAACCGCATCGACTGCAATAACGAATGCATCGTTCGCGACGTCCGATTAACCCGAAATTCGACGATGCGTCCTGTGACGTGTATTTCTATCTCCCGCCTCCTAAAATCGTCACTTTTATTCCACCCGTTATTCCAACCGTGCATTTATTTGTAATCACACACGTGCATATAAATGTATATTTTTCTCAAATTAGAAACTATTTCTCTCGAAATGAGCACAGATTCAAAGCGGAAATTGAATAAAATAGAAATAAAATTAAGCAATAAGAGCCAAAGGATGGTTTTTTTCAGTATACATCAAATCAAGTTAATTAAGCACATGTAATGACAAAATACAAATTATATGCCAAACGCATTTCGGTCAATATCAAATGGCTCTCTTCAGTGACAAAGAACAACAATTTCATTCAAAAGTACAATTTCGCTCGCGTGTAATTGTAATATTGAGTGTTTGGTTTTGTTTGTGAAATGTTCACATGACTCAATTCTTGAATCTTTTATACAAATAATTTGAGTTTTTTTGTTTATAATATTGCCCAATTTTGGACTGACAATGAATAATTTGAATATATGTGTGTATGTTTTTTATGTGTATTTTGGGAAGCTTTGGACATATTGTAGAGCAGCTGAAAAAGAAGAAACACAAATATTTCCGAAAATAATCTTTTCTTTGCACACTTTGGAGTTTAAGTAAACCATCGAAGCAAATTCTTGTATTTGTTTATCTGTGAGATATATAAGAAAATGTTTTAGATGAAAAGTCTTGTGCGTTTTATAATTATGTATTCAAATTATGGCGCGACGCACACAGCATTTACAATTTATATTTCAAAAATGTGATTTATAATAAATTTTATTACGCATAAATTTGTTTAGTACAAAATTTTCTCTTTCTTTATGCCCTTCATTTCTGTTTGACTTTAGATAACTTTCAAAATTCATGGAAATAACGACACTGAACAACAAAAAATAACGTTTTTATTTATCTTAAAATCTGATAAGTCATTTCTTGTAGATTTCTGACTGCTAAACACGAATCTGAACGTCAGAATTTTGAGAAAATAGCCATAAAAGGTGTCAAAAAATGCATATTTTGCATTTTTCAATAATTTCTGGGCGAAAGGAAATGGAACTTTTGTAAGGTTTCAAGTTAAAAACTAAAGCTAGTAATTTAGTTTTAAAAAATAAACAAAAGCAGCAAATTAAAGATCTTGCACAAAATTATATTAATCGAAGAAATTAATGATTTTTTACTTTCTTGTGTATCTCCCAATCTTTTCCACTGCTTTTTAGAATGAGTCTCCTTACCTCTCACTATTTGAGATGCTTTTTGGAGTGAAACCTCTTGTCTTGCTAGAAGAATTAACTCGTCAATTGTAAGACAAATTTGGAGTTGCTTAATATAACAAAAGAATCTATTGAAAAATGTGACAATTTTAGTGAATCTATATGCACAAAATATTAAAACACATCAAATATCATAAAACTTTTACATCTTCTCGTGAATTTGAAGATGTTCGATCAAACTTATCAATTTCATTAAGAAATTGTCCTAGCCTCTAATCTCTTGCAGAAAAGCATGTTTTACAAAAAATATGTATTGCATATGCATTATAAAAAAGAATATATATATATATATATATATATATATATATATATATATATATATATATATATATATTTTATTTTTATTTTCTTTAGTATCAAAGCCTATAAAAATTCGTGAGAGACACTTCCAAACGCTACCTCGTAAGACAACACATGCGATTTACGTAAACAAAGTTTTTAAAAGTGGGATGCGTTTCCCAGGATTAAAACGGAGGATTGGTTTGCGATAACCGATAAAACGGTAGCGCAACAGACTTCGGGCACAGCACTCTCACCGAATTATTCGTCAGTCGGATTATAGATATAATCGCGCGGTTATCACGACGCAAGAAGCACCGGCATCGAAAATCGTGTTTACCGTTTCCCGTATCTTTACGGTGAGAACGACGCCGCCAGCTCCTCTACTTCCGCGGATAAAGAGAACCGTCTTCGCGAAGGTGGTGGAAAAGCTTGGTGGAGCGTATCGAAATCCGCGTCGCGTATATCGAGGGTGAGAGTCGAGACGTTTAATCCGTCACGATCCGTCTTCGTCGCGTCGTCCTCGTTCTCGGAGAAAGAGAGAAAGAGAGAGAGAGAGAGAGAGAGAGAGAGAGGGAGAGAGGGAGAGAAGGAGACAGAAAGAGACTTTGCCAATTGTCACATACTTGTACAATATGAATACGGATTCGTGCGCAAGATTCTCCGACTGGTTTAAATCTGGAAACTGTTCTTAAGTGAAAATCTACTTTTACACGTTATCCTTTTCGCACAGCGTTTTTCCGACGCTCGACATCGAGAAGCAGGATGACCGAGTATCAAATTGGAATTCTGGCATTTCTTATATGAGATGAAATTAGCAGAGTGGAGCAGCATTTTCGGCGGTTCACTCTTTATAGTATTAGTGGAGGGTAATCTTTAATCGCGTGTTATTTCGACAATCTCGCGCAATCCCGTTTCGGCAGCAATCGATATCGCGGGTACCGTGGACTCTTCGATTCTCTCTTTGCTAGATGTCTGAGGACGAGGGGTACGCCCCTTGCCGATGGAACCGGCGCCTCGGGTGCTGCCAGGTGGTACGAGAGAGGAGCGGCGACGGTATCGCTGCAAATGACGACGCCACCGCCGTAAACTCGACGGCCCCCGTCGTGGTTCTTGCTTGCCGTTGCCGCTGCGCTGCAACCGGAGCGGAAGCCGGTTGACGCAGTGGGAAGACACGGCCACCTGGGAAATACCCCTTAATGCCCGCAAAGCTGCCTCGCTCTCGTACGTCTCTCCACCGTGCTCTCGCGGCATTTCCATCCCCCTCTTGTCCTCCTTCGCGCCTCTCTCCTTCACTATTTCCTCTCACGGTCTTCCAGTATATCCCTGCTTCTGTCTCTCTCTTTCATTCGCTGTCTCATTCTCCCTTTCTCTTCCTACGCTTCTCTTTACCGATGCTTCTCTCTCTCTCTCTCTCTCTCTCTCTCTCTCTCTC